TGTTCCGGAAAGTCTGACACTTTTATATATATCTTAAATTAAAGCTAATGTAATGTACTTTAATTTGAAAAAAAAAATTTGACCTCTGGACTTGTCTTCATGGTGAAAACGGCTACCGAATGCTATTTTTGTGTGAAAATTTTTGATTTTAAAATTTACATTTTTTTACTTTAAAGTGCTATAACTTTTTGAAAAATATATGGATCAATACAATTTTTATGAGAAATAAACTAGAAAAAACTAGTAGATCATGTAGCTTTTGGAATAATACACCCATTTTTTAAAATTAAACACTATCTAAAGATTTGCATCGAAGCGTTTTTTTTTGATAGTGATTTTAATCACTGTCAGATATCATTATACTTGATCCAACTATCCCACGTCACCACTGTGCCGCGACCCCCCTGTGCTGGGGTTTTTTTTTATTTTGTAGGCATATTTTATTGAAAACTAATATTTTGTTGATATCAATTATTAAAAAACTGATTTTTTTTTGACAATTCTAATAAGCATAATTATTTTGTATGTGATAAAATGTTTGTACAAATAACAAAATATTCAAGTTTTATTTGTTGATTCCTAAATATAATAATTATACTATAAGTTATTTATAGTTTTTAATTATTAACTAGCTATTTAATTTTGAATAAGCAGAACCAAAATAATTCAATTATTTTTTCTGTTTTGCTTCCCCCAAAAAAATATAATTATATTTATCTGTGTTATTTTAAACTATATAACTACTATCATCACAAAATTGATAAGAAGTTTCTGTAAAAGTGTTATGTGCTTACCTATTACACTTTAAATATAACCTAGTGGTTCATTTTTAACGATTAGTTTAACTACTGTAACTTTCAATAAAAATATTTTTATTAGAGATATTAGTCTTTGGTCACTGTGTATTTTGTGTGGACATGGATAATAATAGCTGAGAGATATGAAAATTTATTTCATTTTAAATAAAAGGAAAGCTGTAAACATATTAGTTTTAAACATGATTTTATTTTAAAATGTCTGTAAAATGGACTTCTTATATTTATTATGATTTAATATTTTAAATAAAAACTTTTAAAATAGTTTTTCCAAACAATAATATCTCCTAATTTTTTTTTTTTTGTAATTATGATAAACTTCAGTTATAAAGCCATTAGTTTACATTACACTTACATTGATTATTATTTGTACAGGGTGATACTTTTAAAGCTAGCCACTCAGTTTCTCTTTCAATATGAAGTTTTTTAAATATTCTTTTTGGTTTTTGTTAGTTACATATTATTTGCATTTATCTGTTATATAAATATTTTTGAGGTTCTTCCCTTAAACCTTATAAGGTTATTAACTTTATTTTTATTAATGCCAACATACATATTGAACTGGCTTATAAAATAGTAAATGATCTAATTAAGAAAGTGACTGGTCAAAACAACTTTTGGAGCAGTACTTAAGAAGTCATTTTCATTTTTATACCTAGGTGGTAGAAAGAGTATTGCTGGAAAATGACAAATGTTAAAATAGCAGAACCTACTGTTCAACTCCTGTCATTACTTTAAATTGTTATTGACTTCTGAAATACTGGTCCAAAAGTTACTATTGACCAGTCGTTTTCTTACTTGGATCATTTTTTATTTTATATGCTAGTTTAATATGTACATTTTCATTAAAAAAATGAAGTTGACATCCCTATAAGATACAAAGAATGAACCTAAAAGTGGTTTAATAGTAGTTAAATGTAAATACATATGCAACTAACAAAAACCGAAAAAAATGTTTAAAAAAACCTTAATATTTTAAGAGAAATTTAGTGGCTAACATTAAAAGAATCACTTTGTATAATATGAGGTGTTATAGTATTTTTACATTATAATTTATGATCAAGTTCATTTTTTTTAAGAAGATGATTATGTATTGTTTGTCTCTTCTTCCAGTCCTTTATCTCCCAATTTGTTTATTAAATAGTATAAAATATTTATATGTAGGACCAATTTTAATTTTTTTAACTTTAGAAAAGTTATTTTGAATTTGTTATTGATCAAAAATAAATAAATTCATTGTTTATTTAAGTCTTCATATTTTATTATTTTGGTTTATGAAATAAATTATTATTTAAATTTGTTATCAATTAGCATTTTTGGGGAATGATCTTTCTCTATTAACCACTTAAATTAATTTCTATTATTTATTGCCACATTACCCAATCAATGAGCATTCTTTTTAATTTAAGTTTATTAAAGGCTATTGTCACTTTGGGCGAATGAATCCTGAATCCTGAATCCTGAATCCCTCTTATTTGAATCGATAGAATGCATAGTGAGAAACATAAGTAAGGAATATTTTATCTTCTTAACATAAACCTTTCAAAATTTTAACATTAGAGAAATAACAAAACTGTCAGATTGAGCATATTAGAAATAATTTTATAATATTTCCCAATACAGAATAGAATACTAGTCTCCACAAACTTTTTGTTTTTGTAAATTAACATATGTGTAAATAAAAAAAACTAAATAATATACTAATTCAAAAACATTTTTTTTAGGAAAAAACTTGTACACAAATGAACATGTAGCTATTAAAATGGTAAGAGTATTTAAAAAATAAAAATGTTTAATTCCTAAATTTAATTTAAAGTCTATTTTTTCATACTTGCTATATTTTTTATTATATACACAGTGTGAGAGAAAAATTCCTACTACATTTATAATTGACTGCTATAATTTATTAATTTCATTTTTAAAATAGTAAATTTGGACTATAATTTTAATTTATTCTTAAAAATTTAAAAGATAAAAATGTTCTTAGCATATAGTTAATTGTTAACTATGACTCATGCAGTATCTTATAAATAATAAAGCATTATATATTTTTTTCAAAAGATAATAGTATCCAATATTCTTCAATTAAAAAAAAAAAAAAGGATTTCTTTCTTTTTAAAATAATATCATTTTTAGTTTTGAATCAGTATTTTGAAAAATATTAATAATTTAATGAAATGATTGGAGGTAAAGCATGGGTCTACTTATTTTTATATCAAGATAATTATAAACCACACTATTCCTTTTTTTTTTTTTCCGCTTTAATCAACTTGATGTGGACTGCCCTGGTTCTGCCTTTAGGCATTGCTTCAAGGCGGCAACCACACTACTCCTGCCCTTGCATAAAAGTACTAATTATAATAATATCTTTTAAAATACTGATCTAAAGGAAAAGAATAGGATTAAATGCAAACTAGAAAACTTATTTTTAAACTTTATTATATGTGTTAAATATATATTTTTATACTAATTTTTATTTTTATTTTAGGAGCCAATGAAATCTAAAGCTCCTCAGTTACATTTAGAGTATCGTTTTTATAAACTTCTTGGATCTCATGGTAAGGCAAAAATGTATATATAAATTTATATACACAGTGATTTTTTTATCAAAACCCACTTAATTATTTGCAGAATAAAAATAATTTTGAGTTTTTATTTTTTTATTTCTGTTACGTATTATTTTCAAATTATTAGCTATGTAATATTTTTTAAATTCATCCCTTATGCCTTGAAAGGAAAATTTGGTGTTTTTAAATGTGTTTTTAACATATTGTTTGTAGTTTAGTTTTAACAGTAATTTGTATTTGAATTTTTAATAATACTTCATCGATTTATTAAATATAACACTTTAAAGTTTCCAATTTTTGAGTTAAAATTCATGTATAAAATACAAGGGATTGGTTCAAATACAGGTAGTTAATTGTTGTTTTACTATTTAGCTGATTAAAGATATGCAGCTTTTATTGTCAATTATGACTTTATCAACAGATATGTTTTTCTATTTTGCCAGTTTGAGTATTAAAAATTTTAACTCATAACATTGTGTTTTATAAATTTTTAAAATTTAAGCATACCTGTTTATAGTCACAGTTGACAATGTATATTAACAAAATTTTTATTATTATTAATTTTTTTTCAGTTAAGTTATTGACATTTGTTTTAGTGTGGATAATCATAGAAAAAATCCCATATCAACCTAATATTTAGTGTGTAAAGATTGTATTATTTCTATCTTTTACTGATGAGCATTGATTAACTTTTGATACCATAAAACAAAAAGCTCAAATTTTTACAAATTTCAAAATGCTCTAGAAATTAATTAAAAAAATATTTGTTATCAAATTTTTTCTTATAATTTTATTTATAAAAAATAACTATTTAGAAGAATTTTTTTGTAACATTACTGGTATTTTTTAAACAATTTATTTATTTCTAAATATAATTCTAAACTCTATCAAGTTAAAAAAAAAAAAAGAAATTAAAGAGAAATGTTCAATGGATCAAAAGTTATTAGTTGTCAAAACATAGTGGGACACTAGTATCCAGATTGATCAAAAACCACTAGATTACTCGCAAAATATATTTCACAACCTGATTACCTATTACTAAAAACTATAACAACTGGAAAATGATTACTACAATACTGGTCATAAACCAGTCAACATTTTATTTATAGAATTCTTCAATTAATAGTAAAACAATAACAATAGGTTCTAATTTAATTTTCGAAAGTTACCGTAAAATCTATCATTAGGAATAATATTTGTATACAATAAACTTTACATTTACAATAGTTTATACAAATAAATTATATTTAAGTCTATACATTTTTATGAAGTGCTAATATCCAGTGTTTTCAATGGTAGTCTAATAAAAAAAAAAAAATGGATATTACACCAATAGTGTTGATTATGTTATATATGTTAAATGTCTTTAAATGTTTGTTATTTTATTTGATTTTCAAATGATATACTGAGAAAAGTGGTTTTAAGTACTATACTTTTCGTACTATACTTTTCGTACTATACTATATAGTACTATACTATTCGAATCATTTAAAAGAGTTTTGGAATTGAAATGAAATTCTTTATGAATTAAAGCACCTGAAGTTTTACTATGTATTTAATGAATATTATGAATCTTATATTTTAAAATTAATTTTACTTCTTCTATTAACTTAGCTGATTATAAAGAGGAACATCAAGCATAATTTTTCTTTTATGTATTGTTTTCATAATTAATTTTTATTGTTAACAATGATTTAATTAATATGTAATTTTAGACCCTACTCAAATTCTGATTTAAAAAATAAGTTCTAATTTTTAAAGTAACTAAAAAAATATTGTATTATTTTAATAGATACACCAATTTAATAATTTATTAAGAAAATTCTGCTATGTTTCAATTCCTTATGCTCTTCAATATGGATTTTTCATTAATTAAAAATTTAAAATATTGTATTTCTTTATTTGTTTTATCCACAATTTATGAGTAAATTTTTTTTTTTTTTATTCCAAAGCTCCTGCTTTTTTCTCAGATGGTATACCTGAAGTATTTTTTTTTGGTCCATGTGGCAAGTATAATGCTCTTGTTATGGAACTACTAGGTCCTAGTCTTGAAGACTTATTTGATATGTGTGGACGTGAATTTTCTCTCAAAACTGTTTTAATGATTGCTACACAATTGGTAATTTAAAAATTTTTTGAGTTAATGAGTGATGAAATTGATTTTTAACTATAATCTTTTATGTTTATTTTTAAATGATAATTTGTTATAGTTACATAGGATAGAATATGTTCATGGTCGTCATCTTATATACAGAGATGTTAAACCAGAAAATTTTTTAATTGGTCGCACTTCAACGAAAAAAGATAAAACTATTCATATTATAGGTGACTATTTGTTACTTATTTAGTTATTTTTAGTTTATTTAAAATAATTTATAAGCTAAGAATTTTATTCTTATAAGTAGGAGATAAATATATTTAAAGGTTAAAAAAATAATTTAAAAGTAATGAATTTAATTATCTGCCATTTAAATAAATACTTGCATAAAATTCAAACCAAATTGACATGCGCAAACCAAAATAATATCCTATTAATAAATATGTACATGGAATTAAAAAAAAAAAAAAAAAGCTTATAACTCAGTCAAAAATGAACAGATTTTAACCACATTTTCAGGGCATCTTTGGAATATCTCTGAGCAGGTCTGGTGAAATTTTCAGATTTTAAATTGAATAACGCTGGCGGCAATGAGCGTTTTTGATAAAAATTTTAAACGCATATGGTGTGCTAAAAACAATTTTCTCATCTTTACAAATAATTTTTGTCATCAAGCTCTTTCATTTAAAAAAATTTTTTGAAAATCGTATGTCGTTAAGTAATTTTTCTACCATTGGTTAATTTTTCAATGTTTTATTGTATAATAAGATAACAATATTATAATATCATTATTTAATAATTTAAAAACAAATTTATTATATAATTCAAGTTTATGTTTGGTTAAACTATAAAAGGTGTAATTTGTTTTACTCTGTAGATTCTACTATTTAACTTATTATTTAGTTTTAGTTATTTAGTGAGGTGGACATAATGCCCATGCATTCAGACCTGTCGGCCCATTGTGCACACCTCATACCGAATTGTCTTGATTTGGTTTACACTCCTAAGTGTTATCACCAAAGTATTATTACATTATACCTATCATTGTATAAGGGTGGACTATCAAGTCACCCCTGTGGATGACCAAAGAGTCCTGTCTTTCTGGCGAAATAAAGTATCTCTCTGGGTCTTAGGTTTTTGATATCTTCTTTTTCAGGAAAAGGTTTACTGAAGTAGTTTGATCTTTATGTGGGCAAGGCTTCACATTCGCACATTATGTAAAATGAGTCTTCTTCTTTTACGCCACACTTCCTGCACAATGGTAATTTCGATACCCTCATTGCATAAACAAGTGACTATGTCCTGTCAGTAGACCAGTCAAAGTGCTTATTTGATGTCTAGTCATGCTATTAAGATCACCCTGCAGTAGATCAAGGGTCTTGATAAATATTTTAGATTGTCTAGGTACTACCTAGTACTTCCAGATTTTCCTGTGTTCTCTGCACCAATTCTTGGGTAGCGCTTTGAGAGATTGCTCAGTGAGTCCTACTACTGGTTCTGGCCCAACATAGGTGTTCTCTGCTCTTTTCCTAGCAAGAAAGTCATTTTTCATTTCCAGTGACACTGTTGGTACCCACCCTAGTGTAACTTTGTTAAACCTTGATAGTGATTCTTAAGTTTCCCTGCATTAGAGGACAAGCTTTGAATTCTCCTGATTGTTACAGAGTGCTTTTAGTGTCGCTTGACTATCACTTAAAATAGTTATTTTTCTTATTTTGTATACTAGCAGGTTCTGAGCTTCTACCAGTATCGCTATTACCTCTGCTTGGATAACAGAGGATGTTGTGCCCATTGACATACTGACATTTATTCAAGGCTTTAGACCCCAAATGCCAGCACCTACCTTTCCTGATTTTTTGAATCCATCTGTTTATATTACAAATCCTCTTTTCTCAGTCAGGTTAATATTCCATTCTCTACGTGTAGAGATTTCCACTTTGTAGGGAATGTTATTCTTAAGAACCGGTTTGATTAGTCCAAGGGGTATTCGAAAAAGCTCTGGTCTATTTCTTTTATTATTTTACTGTGTTCTACTGTGTCATTCTTCAAAGTCCAAGTACTTAAGTTGTGGAATCTTAGTGCTGTGGCTTTGGTGTGAGCTTTAACCTCTTGGTCTGTAGGATTTTGCTTCATAATAGTTAGTTTGGTTAGATTTGGATATAAACACACCCTGACCTTTTTGCCAACTTTCCGGCTGACAACCATAAACAAGGCATTCTCTAAATATTTCGCAGAGATGGATGACGATTAGCTCTGGCCCTTCTTGGAGAAGTGCAGGGAAAATTTCGTCATAGCCTGCAGCTTTGAAACTGCCAAAGGCTTTTATTGCCCATCTTATTCTATTTGGGGTTATCACTCTCCTAGTTAGTTTCCAATCAGCACAGGTCACTCGTTTTTCCTGTGTATCATGTGACTGTTCTATGTTGTTAATTTTAGAGCCAGAAAAGTGTGTGTTCAGCAAATATGATAATGTTTCATTATCATTACTGGCGAACATGCTGTCTGGCAGTAGTATTGCCTCGACAGTTTTGTTTGGTCCATTCCTTAGTGATTGCAGAAGTCTAGTATACTATAGAGAGTTGTTGTATTTATCCATAAAACTTCTTCCAGCTTTCTATTTTGAACTTTTTGAATGCAGATTTGTAGGTCCTTTGGGCGTCCATATAGACTTCCCAGTGTTGTTCCAAACCTAATTATTTCTTAATTTAGACAGGTTAACATTCCATCATGCTACACCCAGCTCTGTACTTTTCCTTTCTATTAAATGACAGTTTTTCTTGTAAGCCAAGACAATGGAGTACTATAGTATATTTACAGCCATTTCAATACTCTGTCTCGACCCCAATCTAAACTGTAGATTATTCAGGTCACGTGAAAGATCTGCCCTGTAGTTATCCCAGTTTGTTCTTTTCGAGTTCCTATAGTACTCCATCTCAACTTAGTTAATTTCCAAAGTGAATCGTATGTATCTATGATCAGAAAGAGAAGGTTTTGAAGACATTTTCTACCCTTTTATCTTTTGAAGTAACCCTTTTGAGCAAACTGTCAGATCAATGACTTCCTACCTGTTCCTGATTACAAAGGTAGGTTTGCTACCTCTATTGAGTATACTGAGGTCTGTAGTCAGTAATAGATCCATTATTACCTCTCTTTGGTTGATGTTACTGCTCCCCCAAATAGTGTGGTAAGCATTAGCATCTATCCTAGGATGAGTTCTAATTTTTCATTTTTGCAATAATTAAAGAGCATTATTAGATCCCTACCTGGGTCTGAGGCCTCATATGGTAGATATACTGAAGCTACTATAATATTTTTACCATCGCTTAATGTTACTCTAATAATAGTCAAGTCTGCACTGGATAGATTAAGTATCAAGCTGGCTTTAACTTTTTCGTAAACCAAAATGCAATTTCTTGGTTTATCTGCTTGTTTATGAAACAGTTTAAAATGCCTTAGATTTAGTCCCTTTATGTGCCCATTATTTATCTATGGTTCCTGAATAAGTGCTATTTGTAAGGGTGTTGTATGCTTCTCAGTTAGGGTCCTTAGTAATACACTATTGGCCCCCTTACTGTGATGCAGGTTTATTTGAGTGAATTGAATTCTATTGTCAGCTATTCAAACAACTGATGTTGACACTTGAAAAAGCGCATTGGACTGGTGTCATACAGTTATCTGAAACAGTCCCTGTATCATACAACCCTCCTTGTAGGTAGTGTCCCCCCGCCATTCACAGGTGCAACAGTTCCTTAGGTTCGCTCTCCACATTTTCTTTTGATCTGTGGAGATGTTCCCCTCAATTGTGGCCATTATTGAGGATGACGGTTTCCCGGGTCCCTTTCCCTTACATCACCAACTTCCTTCCCTTTCGAGGCATTTGTAAAGTGTGTCTGTTTATTCCTTACCTGAGCCTTGCCTCCTTTTACTGGTGATTCTTTAGCCTTTCTCTTCCCAGATTTTTTCACTTTTGGGCTGACGGCTGCTTGGCAACATAGTCCGTGAAGTAAACTCTACCCATTCCAAAGTATGGAATGTGCTTCAATTTCTCCTTGCTCTTTTCGTTTACACTTAAGAACAAAGTTTGTCCTTCGGGTCAACCTCTGTCTCATGGTGGACTTTCCAGATTGCCATGTTCAGCCCTGGGTTCTGTTTTGCAAAATTTCTAAGATCTTCTTGGATTCTTTTGGTAGCCCTGGTATATAAGTGACCATCCCTTTATACTTGAATGGGTTGTAGTTTTCCATTTGGATTTCTACACCGTCCCAAGGTTTTATCAAGTTGACATAATCAGTAAGCCACTTAAGAGAGCTATCTTGGGCTGCACTGATCACAAGTGCTCCATTAATGAGTCTGGTTGGGTTGGATTACAAACCTTAGTATGTCGCTTCCATCAGTACCCAACAGTATCAATCTCCTACTCTGTGGTCAACTTGTTAGTGGGGTAGCCTGCGAGGACCACATCCCTATAGGGCTAATGCCCAATGAGTTTTCTTACATAGAGGTTCTGGGATCATAGGTTCCCTGTTTTTCCCAAATTCGTTATTTTGTGGTTTTCGTATGTTTTTATCCATATAGTTCCTACGAGTAGTCGAGAAATAAAGGACCATCTAAGCAGAGTTCGATACTGTGATAAGACTGTGGTCCTCTATGGCAACTGTGCGCCAGTTGCCATAGAGGATTCCAAAAAGGATTTACCTTTCGGCAAACTACCCTGTGACAAATTAGTAACCCTTTCACTTGGTATGGATAGGTTAGGGGGCCTATTCACTGTTAGCAAGCAGGTATGCCCAGGCCTACCGGTCTCAACTAACCAAAGTCATGACCAGCTAAGAGCAGTGGTACATGTTGCCATCCCCACTTAATTAACTAGGGTCTGTGGGGTTTGTTAAGCTCGTGATCCTTAAAGATCCCTCTGCAGATTAACTAATTATTTAAACAATTAGTATTAATTTAATTATAATGATATATTTTTTTCCTCCTTAAAATACAAGTTAAGTATCTTTAAACAATTTATTTATTTTATATAACTTTGATTGTAAGTAGATTGTTTTTTCAGATTTTGGTTTAGCAAAAGAATATATAGATTTAGAAACAAACAAACATATACCATATCGAGAACACAAAAGCTTAACTGGTACTGCAAGATATATGAGCATAAATACACATTTAGGAAAAGGTAATTTAATTGAAGTTAAATATAAAGACAATAGCCTATAATTCTATATATACTAAAAAAAAAAATTTAAATAATGGATCAATCCCCCAGAAAATATAGGAAAATTCATAATTGTTTACAAATATTTCTAAATCTGTATTATACACACTACATGAGTGCGTACATTGTTAACACATAAATTCACATTTTAATTATAACTTTTTCCTAATTTCAATGTCATTAATGTAAATGTTTTATGTATTGAAAGATATTTACAAATATTTTTCAAGGGGAATATGTCCCCTCATTTATCTTTCTAATAAATGTTCACCTATGATATGTTAAAAAAAATAACTTTTCTTAAGGGTTACATATTATTACTTTCACTTATTTAAATTTAGGCTAAATAATTTTTGTTCTAAAATATAAAGTCAAAATTTAATTATTGATTTAATAATTAAAAACCTATTTAGTATTTTTGTGGATAAATTTTTAAACTTTAATTCATTTTATAAACTATAATTATTTAGTTATTATAAATTATTTTAATAATTATTTTTGTTTTTTTTTTTAATTATTTTTATTTATTATAATATTATATCATATGTAATTTATAAATTATTTAACTATAATATATTTAAATCTAATAACTTTAATCTGACTATTTATGAACAAGAAAACTAATACTTTAAATTATCCAATAATTATACTAATGTACTCTTATTTATATCTTTAGCAAAATAAATCTACAACTACATCTGTCTGTCAATAATGTAATATTTATAGTTGAATTTCTGTTACTTCAAATGGTTAAATAAATAATTATTTAATCAGAATTAAAAAATAATTAGAATAGTTTATGTTATAATAATTATTATAGTACTAAAAAAAAAATATTAACCTGTAATAAATAATTTAAATGTACATTTCTCGATAAAAATTTTATTTAAAATAAGCTTACTGTAATAATTTTTTTTTAGAACAAAGTCGACGTGATGATTTAGAAGCACTTGGGCATATGTTTATGTACTTTTTAAGAGGATCTTTGCCGTGGCAAGGATTAAAAGCTGATACTCTTAAAGAAAGGTATCAAAAAATTGGTGATACTAAGCGAGCTACTCCGATTGAAGTTCTTTGTGATGGATATCCTGGTTAGTATTCATTACTTAAAATTTGTAAGTTATAATAATTAATTCATTTTAAAAATAGAGGAAATGGCACAATATTTACGTTATGTAAGGCGCTTAGACTTCTTTGAGACACCTGATTATGAGTATCTGCGTACATTATTCAAAAATTTATTTGAAAAAAAAGGTTATGTAAATGATTCAGAATTCGATTGGACGGGAAAAACTATGGTATATAATTTTTTAAACTATTTGAATGTGAACAATTGAAAATATGTTTTGCTTGATATTAAATTATAACATTGAAATTCAACTTTGGAAATTTATTTTTTGCATTTTTAGTTGTTGGTTTGCTAATTATTGTCATATTTACTAACATAGATTTTGGCTTAAGAAATAAAACATTAATAACTCTTTAGAAGCTTATTGTTTTTAAAATAAAACATATAAGAATAATTTTAGTGCATACTACATAAAAATATTTTTTTTATTTTTTATAAGTAATAGTTAATTGTATTATATTTTGAGCTTTGATATTTATAATTAAATTTTTTTGATTTTTTTTTTTTTTTTGGATTTTTCTAAAATTGACATTTTATATCAGATTGATTTTGTTAATTCTTTTATATCACAAGAGTTAGAATATTTATGGCATTAGTAGTTTATTATTGTTGTCAATTATATTTTTTAATTATTATGTTTCAAATCTCATTCTTTATTTATTTGTTGTTAGTATATTGCTTTAAAATTATATTTTTGAGAGTTAATTTTATCAATCTTAACACTAATATTAAACTTCTGAAATATTTTCAAAGGCTATAGATAATAGTTTAATAATATTGGTCTAACTTAATAATTCTTAAAACATATTAATATAGTAATTATTTTTATCATTATCTTTTATTTTTTGTGCATGCTGCTTAATTATTTTTAAATACTTCTTAATTACTAGAAACATAGTTTATTTAATACACTTCGTATCATACGTAATCTTTCTAATGAACATCCTCAAACTTCTGAAAGTGATATGGTAAGTAAATTGTTATGCTTTTTCTAAATATTTTAACTGATTTTTGATATTTTGATATTTGTATTAAATTTTATTTACTATTTTTTATTTTTATTCATTATAGTGTACTTTAGTTGGTTCTATACAATCAAGTCAAGAAGTAATATTGTCACCAAATAGAGAACGTCAAATTGCAAATAAGGTAAATTAAAGCCTACATTGCCAATATTATTTATTATAATTTTACATTTTATTTGTTAAAAAAAGAGTAATGATGCACTGTCTTTTTTCAATGTTAATAGTGAATATTTATTATTAATAAATAATTTAAAAAATAGTCTCATTTACCAAAACCAATTCTTTATATGTGATCATATTCATCATATATCATAAATGATATTCAAGGGTGACTAGGAATTTTTCAAGGAGGATATGATTTATATTTGTTCAATATTTAATTTCACTGTTTGATTGATTAATCAGGATTAGCATTTGACCAGAACCCTTATTATGTGCTTAAAATTTAAAATGCCGACCCTATGATTAATGATCTTATATGACTGTGAAGTTTCTTCTTATGTAATAAAGAGACAAGTAGGTAGGTTGTCTTAAAATTATTAGTGAATTATGTGAAATTTTAGTTAAAAGTTGTTACATTTCAATAAATAGCATTCATTTTCATTAATTGATATTTAATTTTAAGTTTTTTATGTCATAAATCTATAAAAGCAACATTCTTAATCCTCACATTTATAATTAAGGCGCAAAATTATATCCATTTATAAATTTTGTTAAGTTATTTTGTAGACACCATCAAATTTTTATTAATTATTTAATTTTTAGTCTGGAAATAAAGGTTGGCAAGAAAATTCTAAGTTACCAGGGCACACATTGGGCAATTTGACTCCTGCAGATAGACATGGAAGTGTTCAGGTACACCAATCATCATATAACCAAAAAAATTGTATTGTTATAATTAAAATTTTAATATATCAAACCATCAACACTATTAGTCTCTTTTTTATTTGATAAAAAAAAAAAGATAAAAGGTTAATTGACCTAAGTGCTGATAAAATCATGCTAGTCTGTAGTTATGAAAAATTAAAATACCTTTTTATTATTTTTTGAATGGAATAGATTGTTTTTAAAATTGAATTATAATATTAATATACCTATCACTCTGCAAAAATTACTTAATGATTTTTTCTATAATTTAAAAACTCATACCCATCCAATGTTAACAAAGAATTTTTGTTACAATAATTATAAACAATTTAACTGACTTGTTCAACTAATTTTTTTTTTCTTGTAATTTTATAGAGTTTAAAATATAAAATGATTTACATTTTATATCATAAAATGTTGTTTTAAATTCTTATTATATATTTAGGTGGTTAGCTCTACTAATGGTGAATTAGCTAATGATGACCCAACTGCTGGTCATTCCAATACTCCTATTACAACTCAAGCTGAGACAGAAATTGTTGATGACACTAAGTAATGAATAAAAATTAACAACCAAAATTTGTTTTTCTACCTATATTTTTTTTCTAGGTGTTGTTGTTTTTTTAAACGTAAAAAGAAAAAAACTTCCCGTCCTAAGTGACTAACTATGATAAAATGCAACTCTGAACGTGAGGCTGTTATACTATTACGTGCAACTTCGCATTCAAACTCGCGTGATAGTGCTTTAAATACATCTATTCCGACCATTACGTGAAATTGTTAAATAATCATCCCACTCATTTAATATTTAGTTTTTAAACATTTATTTCCTTTTTACTTTGTAATTAAAAATAGGCTACAATATACTTATATTTGTAAAATAATAAAAACAAAAAACAATAACAAATACTAGACCCTTGGTCATCTCTGCATTCCGTCAACTTATTTTGTTATTGGGGCTTTAAAGCTACATTTGTTGACACTAGTCTTGACACTAGGCGGTAAGACAAAATTATCAATTTTTGCTTATTAATATGATAATAGTTATAATAATAATAGTAATAATTATAATTATATATTTATATAAATAAAAGAAGAAAATTATCATGAAAAAACAGAATTATAATTGTATGTATTATATGGTTTTCTGGAAAAAACAAAATTTTAATTATTTATTTCAAAAGTAATAATACTTAAGTTACCTAAGTAGTAATTTTTATATTATTATGTGTTATATAAATAATTACCCTAAATTATTAGTTCCTGTAAATAAATTTAAACAAATTCTGTTTCAAGTAACATGTATTAATATTATGAGGGCATATAATGTTTAAATTTTTCAGAACCAACATCTAATACCTCACTTTTTTCCTACTGTAGCCTTTTAAAGAGCTTATATTTAATTTTCAGCTTAAAATTTAGAAGACTTTATTGAAGATTTTGTTGTGTGTTCATTCAATTATTTTTTTTTTTACTCAAAGTTTAACATTGCCCTATTATTTTATATTTAAAATTTGATTTTTATTCATTGTTTTTCCCTACTTTAATAATTTGACAGTAATTATTTTTACAGCTAATTTTTATTTTTAATCTTTTAAAATTAAATAAAATCAAGTTAGCTTATTGGATTCAGTTAATATGTTTTCTGACCTGTTTATAACATTTCTATAAATATATATATATTATATAAATGCAACTGTTGATAGTTAATTGAATTTGCTAGTACAATATAAGTATTCTTTTTATCAACTAAGCGATTATACATGAACATATTATTACTAAATTACCCAATGGTGAATTTTTAAGAATTTATACTATGAGGAATTATTGTTATTGTTAAATTAATTTACAGTCAATTTTTCTCTGAAATATTATAAAAAATAAAATTGATTGAAGCCTCAGTAAAAATATTAGTTATTTTTTTACTAAATCAGTTATAATGTAGATAAATTATCCAGAAGTTTAATTACTTAAAATATATGCAATTGAAAACAAATATATATTATTTACAATAATCGCTCGTGATGTACAAAATACTTATGTAATATATTATTAAAAATACATTTTTTTTTTCATAAAAATATTGTTATGTTCGTGATATGTACATTTTTAGCTAAGTTTTAGGCGAAAACATAATTTTACTACTACTATTTAATTTTAAAACATTATATTTATTATAATTATTACAAACATTTTTTTTTTTTGATTGTTTAGTTTTTAAATTTATCATTTATGATTTTTCTAATTATAATAATAAAAATTAAAAATATGAGGTATTTGTTTGATTTATTTTAGCTTAATATCCAAAAGTGCTGCATACTTAAATGATTTTTTTTTTATATGAATCCTTTTTTTTATCTTTAATGTGAAGCAGAGAAAATATTAATTTTATTATGATATGTACCCCTTTTACCTGCTCTCCTTTACAAAAAATATTTAGGTGTTAATTATAAATATTAAAATGAAGAGGGCTGTCCTTTTCAACAAATGGTTTAGCTACTAATAACATATGATAAATTAAAATTCATCGACGCATATTTGTCGGAAGATAAAAAGTACCATTTAAGTTAGTTCAAAATTTCAAAGTTGTATATCCTAGACTTTAAAGAATCAAAAAATTTAAAATAAATTTAACTTTATACTCAATGCAAATTAAAATTAATATAAATTTTATGAAAGTCAGTACTTACCTTATTTTAAAATAAATAAATCTTTTTAAGATTATATAAGTTAATAAATAAATATTTTCGAATAAAAATGAAGAGAATTTTCCTTTTTTACCCATTTCTTTATGTGCCAATGCAGTTTACACTCATTTCTTATGAAAACTTTCAAATAAGTTTTTGTACGATTTTCAAAATTTTGCTGTTTTTACACTACATTTTAAAATGTAGTTTTTTCTTTACCTATAATGTTCGTTTATCACTACAAAGAAAAATACAGAGGTCAATTTTTTTTTCAAATTAAAGTTAATTACATAAACTTAAATTCAAGATATATATAAAAGCGTCAATACTTTTCGAACATTTTCAAAATTATGTTGGAAGTTCTATTTTTTATACGCATTTAAGGGAAATGGTCCAATTAAAAAAAAATAGGTATATAAAAAGTATTTATAAAAAAAAATTGTAATGATCCACATATTTTTTTTAAATATAGCAATGTAAATTTAAAAATATAAAATTTAAAATCGAGAATGTTTTTACCAAAATCTTACGTTTTTAATTAAATTTGCAGTTCGCTTCACGACCAAGAAAAATCCAGAGGTCAATTTTTTTTCAAAATATATTATACTACCTAAGCTTTAATATAAGGTGTATATAAAAGCGTTAGTAATTCCGGAACATTTTTAAAAGTTAAGTTGAAAAATTTCTATTTTCTATACGCACATTTAAAGTTTTGTCAGATTAAATTCTAAAAATGCTAGTATATCGTTACACAAAATATTTGCCCGATTTGTCTAATCCCATTTTCACTAAAGATATAGTAAAATTTTGAAACATAGATTAGACTTTAGTAGCTTAGAATACTAAATATTTTAGTTCTGAACAAGTTAGGCCATTTTAAAATGGGAAAATTTTCATTTTTGTTAATGACTGATTGAGTCATCATCAAATTATAAGACACTTTCCATATATTTTAAGTAAAGGAAAAAACCGAATATCTAATTTTTTTAGAGGCTCGTAAAAATTATGAATTTTATTGGCTTAAACTAACAGTGATATTCTCATTAAAAACTAACTCAAAAAGAGCCAAGTTTCAACCCCCCTTTCCCAAATAAGCCCGCTTATCAATATAGTGATATCTACATTGTGTCCAAGTTTTTAAACTTCAATCTTACTTTCATGAGCAACATTAGTATTACATAAAACTTGGACAACTAATAATTAAATACTCATTAAAAATTACATGGAAGATGATAAAGAGAGACCTGATAAGATTTTTTGAAAATTGTAGCAATATCTGTTTTATGCCTCATTCAAAAATTTGATAAGAATAAAGCAATACGAATATAGAAGCAATGTTGCTTATGAAAGTATGATTGAAGTAAGAAAAAGCATCCTTGTCCACATTGTAGATATGTCACTACTTAGGCAAATATTTTTTTTGTGAAGGAGGGGTTAGAAGTAAGTCATTACTAAACTGCAGTCTCTCAAAAATTTACTTAAATGATATTAATTTAATTAAGGCTAACTATTTAACTAGCTATTTATTGTTAAAAAGAGGGGGCTTTTGCCAGTATATCAGGTTAGGGTGTGAGATTAAACGAAAATTATTTCGTTTTCACATAGTTATATATGTATATATATATACTATATAGCTTAGCCTCCTTATATAATGTGTAATTTTGTAAATATTTTATCTCTGTTATTACTGATATATCATTAAGTTTAACATTCACAATTTTTTTGTTATTTTATATGTTTGGTATCCAAAATTTTTTCTTAAGAAAAAAATATACTTCGTAATTTTTTTAAAATTTAGAAATGGATTTAAAAAAAAATTGGTTTATCAGTTACTTAAATAGAAGAAATATTACTGTTTCAATTATAAGAACTTTTTACAATTTTAATCAAAAAAACCCAGCACAGGGGGGTCGCGGCATAGTTAGGACAAGTATAATGATATCTGACAGTAATTAAAATCACTATAAAAAAAACGCTTCGATGCAAATCTTTAGATAGTGTTTAATTTTAAAAAATTGGTGGATTATTTCAAAAGCTACATGATCTGTTATTTCCTTATTAATATCCTGAAGGAAAAAGGGATTATTAAAAAATATTATTTCTCATAAAAAAATTATGTTGATCCATACACTTTTAAATAAGTTATAGCATTATAGAGTTAAAAATGTAAAAAATAAAATCGAGAATTTTCACACAAAAATAGCATTTGGTAGCCATTTTCATCACGAAGACAAGTCCAGAGGTTAATTTTATTTTCCATAATAAAGTACATTACATTAGCTTTAATTTAAGATATATATAAAAGTGACTTTCCGGAACACTTTTAAAAGTTAAGTGTAAAAGTAAATTTTTTGTGAAAAAGTTGTAATTTTAAATCCCTCCCCGTGGGCAGATAAAAGGTCAGATTTATAAAAAAAAATATACCAAATGATAGGTAAAGACATCAAGCATCTATAAAAAAAAAATTATATTGATATTCATTTTTTTTATTTTTTTCATTTTTTATTATTCATTTTTAATGAAGTATGGCAGTTTTTAGTAAAAAAAATTGAAAAAATTTCGAAAATTAGCGATTTTTAAATTTGTAATTTTTTTGGAGGTTTCCCCCATTTACAGGGAACGAGGGAATTTTTTTTTCAGTTTTTGAGAGTAATATCTTCGACTAGATACGATCTTTTGACGTATCGTTGAAAGAAATCCGTTCGGTGAGAGCTGAGAAAAAGTGGTAACATACACAAAAAAAAAAAAACATATCACAGTAAAACCAATACCTTTTCAGCTTCGCACGTAGCTAATAAAGGTTGGAATTTTTTGCGTTTACAGGTAAACACTGTTAATTGTCAATGTGTAAATTAAGTATTAGTATTGTAAAGTACCTAAAAGAAATTTTGTATAATTTAATTAAAGCATAATTATGTATAAACATAATACTATTGTACCTGTATTTTGGACGATTACCTTTTCCTTATAAGAATCACACAATGAAATAGAAATAAAAATCATTGAGCTGTTAATATTATATAAAATATTTTACCTGATATGAGTGAATAATAATTATTTACCGTCTACTTAATGTAGAACAAAATATTTTGATTTAACTTATTAATTTTGATATTACCTGCTAAAGATTGACCCTATTTGCTACACATTTGTTTTTAAATTTAATCCTTAAAATTTTGAATAACTCTGTTGTTTTTATCAATCATATTTTGATAGTAAAATTCTTAATAAATAAAATTATTTATTATAATTTATATATTTCAACATTTTCATTAACCTATGAGTCGATATTATTTGTTTTATATGCTGAAAAATTCCTACAGAAAAATACATGTACTATCAAAATACATCTAAAACATTTTTTCTTATACGAATCATAATTCTCACTAATATCATTCAAATAGCTGCCTGGACGGCTACTGAAGACATAACACCATCCCAAAACAAAACAGTTGTTTTACCAGAGCTAATAAGAAAATTCATTTTTGACAAACCTAGAGCTAGAGCTTTATTCCAATGCAATAGACTTCCGTCGCATAAACACTTATATAATAAGTTAGCAAATAAACTTAAAAAAATGCTTGCTCAACACAAAACAAACTTCTATGAAAATTACTTATGTAGCTTAACATCTAAGGATGGTAGCTTGTGAAGAGCTACCAAACAACATACAAGATTTTATATCTTAGATATAAAATAACTAATCTCCCAATCAAAATAACTAACGGCAGTCTAGCTATCTCTGACTTGGAAAAGGCAGAGTTATTCAAAGAAGATCTAGCTGATACTTTTGAACCTCATCCGAATATACATTCATCTGAAATTACTAGTTCTGTAATGACATACCTCGACGCACCTTACCACTCTATTTTGTTCGTATTAATAAAACATTATCATAAACCCTTGATAAAATTTCTCTATCAAAATTGATTGAGGTTTTTCTTTGGGTGCACTATTGCTAGATATCCTTCCAACAAATCCCCTGGTTTTGACCTTATAACGGCCGAGGTTGCAAAATGCCTTCCAAAAAAAGCTGAATCAGTATTTAAGTTTTTAAAAAGTTAAAAGTTAAGCTGTGGAAAAATATAAATCTGATTAAACCTTTTCATTTAATCTATACTTCCTGAGTTATAACGAAAGGCATAGAAAATAATTACTCTGTATACAGAGTAATTGATTTATCATTGACCACTAAATTACTTTTAAATTTATAATTTTGAGCATTTATTTTTTTTTTAGTAGTGTTATTTATTTAACGATAACCCTTATAAGAGATAAGGGATATTCCTTATAAGGGTATCTACTTAATTTTTTTAAATCGTAATATACATTTGAATAGATTAAATGTTAGAAAATGATCTAACTAAGAAATCAACTGGTGGTTTACCTTTTGCTATTAACATTTTAAAACGCAGACTGGAGGTGTTGGTTATATTATTTTTATTACTATGCATACTCTTTGGGGCTCTTTCTTCCACCTGAGTATGAAGATGTATATAACTTCTAAAATACTAGCTCAAAGTTGTAATACACCAGTTATTTTTTTTGGGGGTCATTTTCTAATATTCAGATAGTACGTTACTACTACATATATTACGTATTTTGCAATTAAAAAAAAAAGTTGTAACCTTTATAAGGGATAAGGGTATCTTAAAAATATTTAATTACTTATAAATCAACATATAAATACTTCTTAAATAAGAAAAATAATATTTTAAAATTATCATTATTTTAAAAGAAATCTAAATCAATCACTTTATATATATATATATATTTGTTTATCTATTGTAAATATTATCTGCCATATTTTAATTACATGTTTTTATTCGTATATCAATATAACACTTTATAAATTGCTTAGTTGGTGAAATTATTTGATCGTTCATCAGATTTTTTTGTGGAATTCCGGTATGTTTCATAGATATTCAATAATTATTAACATGAATATTATTCATGTTGTGCAGATTGATTTATTAAATTACCATAACATAAATAGTATACATTATCTATTGCTAGTGCGATAATTATTTTCTGTAAATTAGATAATAGTTTGTAGTTTTGATTTATTAGAATTGATTTTATGCTGCTTTAGAACGTTACTAACCCTTCCAAATCAATAATAATCAATTATTATATAAAAAAAATTCAAAGATTTGTTTAAATGTGCGCCTATAATCATTTCAACTCTTAAACTTTTATTATCCTTTTATCAGGCGTGGATTAGATAGTTTGATCGCAAAAAAAATAAAATTTGGAAGATCAAATCAAACCATTAAACTGTGGTCCATTAAGTAATAATTAGAGAAACCATGATGATATCCTTGTATTTTGATGATTATACAATCGAAGAAAAATGTTTTGGATCCGCTTCTGAAGCTTTTCCTTGGACAATTGTTTGCATTATAATATTTTTAAATTTTATTCGTATTTAATTTATGTCAACACATTTAGAAAGGATAAAGACCTTTTTTCATTACATTATTTTGATTATCCCTAAGCGACAAATTTTATCAGACAATCTCTCTACCATAAAAAAAAATTGATGTTTTGACTTTGGCGATTATAATAAATTTTATATAATAATCGTTATTTTAGTCGTTTGATGTGGTATCACTGATGCGAAAGCCCATCCCGTTTTGATAACCAATGAATAACCTCCTATTGGCCACCAGGTAAACAAACTATGAACATAGTGTAGATTAGTTTTTATACACTACGCATAGCAGTTATGTGAGTGCAGTCGAGTTACCGGATTCTTGTCGTGTTTTTATTTTTTATTTTTGTATACGTCACAAAAATTTATTTCACGTATTTGGTACATATGAGTAGTGTAAATTCAACATTTTTTAATCGAGTGACTTTGTTTGATCACCAATATCATGTAACTTTTAAAAAATAACTTGGCAATCAATTTAGCTACATAAAGAAACTTCAAGCCACAATTATGTCGGTGGACACTAAGTGTCAGCTGAGTATCGTAGATATGTTGCTTAATGATTCTGGGGTGCTGGACGAATTTGAAAAGAGTCCAGCTGCTATTGATGTTGAATCAGTATGTAGTTTACATATTATTGTATTATTTAAGTTTACTTATAACTGGTGTTTGATAAATACCATCAAACTATCTTCTTGTAAATTATGTAGTTTCTTGTTCTACAGAAGTTGAACTGGGACATAGAGAATGACAATTTTCTTGACTCATTATTAAAAATGGAAGACGATTCTGCACCATTTGAATTTTTATCTAGCAATGATGACTTTATGTCAAGTGCGGCTACCACACCCACATATGACAATGCCGAGAGTAGCTCATGTTCTGATAGTGGTACGCTATAAAGTGGTCTATTTTTCATTCTTTTACTTAAATTGTGTCATATTTATTCTTAAATTTATTAATTTATTGAATATTTAAATAATAATTTGTATTGTACACTAAATAAGTTGCAGATGCTTACTTCTGAATGTGTTAATTAAAATTAAAATTAATATTTTTGTACTTTTTCTTTAATTTACCATTTTAAATAACAGTAATATTCATTTTATTTTTCAGTGTTTTATCTAATTATTAAATTATTACAGATATGATATATATTACAGATCATTTTACCTTAAAAAAAAAAAAGATTGATAATTATTAGATAGCTAAATAATTTTTTCTAAATATTATTTATTTTATACATTTTTGAAAATTAAAAGAAAATTTAAAAAACAAGAAAATATGTTTCAATAGTGTTAGAAGATAAGCTTATTAAAAAATATTATTCTAATTGTATATAGGTCTATCATCTGTGGACCATATGCCATTTGTTCCAACACCTGAAACATCCAAATCTAATATTGTTGATAATAAGTTGGAATTTACTTATGAATCATTTGTAAAAGAAGAAATAATTGATGTAGACGAAGATGAAAGCATTGAGAATAATCAGAATATGGCCAAAAATACTCATAAAATAGTTCACCAACCACAACTATTTAAAACTACTCCTCGTACAGTAGTTATTTCACCAAAACAATCTAAAGGACCTATTGCTATATCCAAGCAACTTTCAAAACCAGTTTTTATACCAATTAATTTATCCAACGTTAAAACAATAAAAGTATGGGCCTTAAAATTATATTAATTAACATGTGACATGTAAATTAAAATAAATATTGTGTGCTTTAATAGGTTGTTAATCAAAACGGAAAAACAATAAATGCTGATGCATTTAGGCGTATACAGACCATTAATCATGGTAGAAGAATATTTGTTAGAAATAATGGTTCAATTGTTTCAAAACCTATACCTATTTTAAAACAAAATAAGGTCATTGTGTCAGATTGTACTAGTGATGAGTCTGATTCTATGTATCCTCGGCTTCATTTAACAAGTAATATTAAAAGTCTTTAAGTTAAATTCAAAAATATTGTGTGACATTTATGTTTAAAGTCTAAAATTATGTATAAAATTAATTGTTATCATTTTATATCAACATTACTAGTATTAAATAAAATAATTATTATCTCCAAATTATAAGTACATTTCAATTTAATTCTCTTAATTATATTATTTAACCTCAATTTTTTCATTCGTATAGAATCTGACATGAAATTAGTAAAAAAATTAATGTAATAAGGGTGTTAAACTTATAGAACATATTTTAATATAAATTTATAAATTATGAATTTTGATAAAAATATTTTGTTCGTTAAAATTTGAAAAATAAAACAGCATAATAGTAATTGACTTATGTTCATATTTTTTCACATAATTGGTGTACTTAATTATAATTAAGATACTATGTCTTATTAGTTTTGTAATATTCTTTATCTAGTACATTTTTTATACTTTTTTAATTTGTATATAATTAATTTATGAGAAAATAAAATAGTATAAAACTAAACTAAACCTAAAATATTGTGTATTAAAAAAATGTAACTACTAGTTTTAATGGTGTACTATCATGAGATTTTATTAAATATTTTAATCTGAAAACTAATGGTGCTAAATCCCCGAAATTAGTAGTTACATTTTTTTCATACTCTAAGCTTAGTTTAGTTAAGTTCTATATTATTTTATTTTTTAATAAATAAATAATCAATTAATATTTTTTATTTTTTTATACAATAAAAAAAGTTAAATTTTTTCAAATTAAATAATGATTTTGTTTTGTAGTTACTTAATTTTTAATTTCACCTCTCATTTTGTTTAAATTAATATACTTTAATTCAAGTTAAATAGTTAAAATTTTTTAATAAAAAAAAAAATTTGTACTGTTAAAACTATCAATTGTTCACTTTGATCTTTCAGTTGTTATAATTTATATTATTTATTATTAAATTCATAATTTATAACATTAAAAACTTGGTTTTTAAGCAAAAAGTATATATTTATAGATGAAGAAAGAAAATTAATGGAAAAAGAAGGAGTTAAGTTGCCGTCTCATTATCCTCTTACTAAACATGAAGAAAGAGATTTAAAGCGCATACGCAGAAAAATTCGAAATAAAATTTCTGCTCAAGATTCAAGAAAAAGAAAGAAGGAGTATGTTGATGGTCTTGAAGAAAGGTAAGAAAATTTACTGATTTGTTTTAGTGTAAATCAAAGTCATTTTTTAATTATTAAAGTAAGTGTTTCTACTTTTTTCTAGGGTTAAACAATGTTCTGAAGAAAATAGCCAGCTAATGAAAAATGTTCATGCTTTGCAGACTGAAAATGAACGTTTGAAAGCTGCATTAAAAAGATTACAAAATGTGATTGCCCCAAGTGGTACTACAGCTCAACCAGCTACTTGTTTACTAGTGTTAATGATGTCACTAGCATTAATTGCTGCTCCTAATTTAAGATCATCTATAACTGAGGATAAAGATGTAATCTCTTTAGATGGTCAAGAATCAAGTGCAGCTGTTCCAGGTAAATGCCTTAAAAATTCTTAATATTTATAATACATATTCTGATTGAGCCCATTAAGTTGTAAATTAATGAATTTTAGGACGTTCTAGAAACTTATTATTTTCTAAATCAGGCACACCATTAAGCTCTGATATGAATGATGTATTAGCAATGGTAGCTAATGGTTCAGCTGATGGACAACGAGATCCTTTAATGGCTGAACTTGGGGAGTTATTAGACTTCAATAGTTTAGTATCTAAAAAAGATCATGATTATTCTAGAATATCTGTTATGGAAGATTATTACATTCCTGAATCTGATGATGGTTGGGATAAAGCTGTAAAACGCTCTGCTCCGTCTGAGTGGATTGATGAGCTATCAACACCAGCTGTGAAAAGCAGACGAGAGGCAGAGCGAGTAATTCTCGTTTCCAGTGATGAAGAATCTTATTAAAAAAATTTAAATGGTGAGCGCAACAAGAGTATTTTGGGTATGATGTAATACCACTAGTCAGGAGGTACTGTTGCTCTCTAGTGGTACTATAACGTAATTCTTTTCTACTATAATTTGTTAAGTTAATGTAATGTATGCATTAACATAAGGCTTCTTCTTGGTATTGAATATGTATGTTAATTTTTAGAAAAATTTTATTTAAATTCACCAACACAATCGCTTTTTGAACTATTATTAATTGATATTTTTACTATATGTATTTAGTTTAGTGCTTGTAATTAGGTAATGGGACATGTATACAATATTAGTTAATTTTATTATTTTAAAAATTGTGATTATTAATGTTGGTATTTTTTAAATTCTTTTTTTTTCTAAATATATTGTGTAACCTTTTGTTGCGTAAATCAAATTACACTTATTGTTAATTCACAATCTTTAAACTATTTTACAATTATTATTTAACTGAAAGTATTATGTTATGGATATTTAATACTTATTAAGGAATAATATTAATCAAGAAAATTATTCATTCAATGAACCTTATAAAACTTTTAATTTTTAAATTCTACAAAATAATTATTAATTCAATTTGATCTTGCAGCTTGTAACAAATTTGTAATATAACTGTTTCACTTATTTTCCATGTTATAAAAAGCTTGATACAATTTAATAGTATTTAAACATCAACTTTTAAGCTCAGGTCTAAAATTATTACTTCTAAAAAAAACTGTTTATCTACTTATTTTAATGATAATTTTCCCTGAATAATTTAATTTTAATAACATCAGTGAAAATCTAAAGTGTTTATTTACAAATTTATAAAATTATACATTTTTTAAAATATATATTAAAAAAAAAGCTGCGTATCAGATAAGCTTGCATATTTTTTTAACCAGTATTATTTTACATTAAGCTATTACTAATTTTTAAAAATTAGTAATACTATGACATGTTTTTCAATACCATTTAATTTTTTTTTTGTACCTACATGATTAGAAAGCTACCAATACTATTTCATATAAAACAGAGATAGGATTATTTAAATTTTTAACTGTATAAACTCTACTCATGATCCAGATCTTCAAATCCAAATATTAACAATTCGACCTTACAATAAAAACTCTAAATATATGGAAAAAATAATATTTTGTTAATAGTTAATATATTGATTGTCAGTTTTTTATTATAATAAAAAGTTTTAATAAGCAAACAAATATCGTCAAACTCTCGACGATGAAAAGTAGATCATCTGTAATTAGTTGATTATGTTTAGAAATTTGTGTACATAATTTTTATTGGAAATTCAATTGGTGATATTGATAATGGCCATCGAGAAGACAATTCAAAATAACAAATGGTTAATTAAATTGTTTATTCTAAAATTATTATAATGTTCATCTAAAAATGAAAAAAATCAATAAAAATTCTTTATAACCACATAAAAATAGAAAATTAGTTGAATCAGACTTATATCATGGATTTAATTTCAGGGGGTTTATATTATTATTTAACTTGTCTAATTTCTATCTCCTCAATTTTCAAAAAAATTATTTGTCTAATTGATAGAAAAGAATTATTGACCTATATCCGGGATGTGTGACTGCGTGAACTAGTTATTTGACTTATATTTTTTATTGCAAACTTTATTTTATACTAAGGAATCATATATAGTTGTAATTAGACTCAATTTATTTACATAATTTTGTCGTTAATTGGTAGAGAGGACAGCATGCTAAGCCAGTAAGGTTTCAATATAAAAATTTACATCATATTATATTTATAAATATGGCTTTAAACCTATCTTAAGTCTGTTACCATGAAACTTTGCGTTTATTTTAAATCACATGTCTTTTATTTTAATAAAAATTTATCATATAATAACAAATACGAATACACGATATTGATGTTATGATAATCGATTACAAAATAGTATTTATAATATAATTTCATCATATCAAGTGAATTATAATGTTGGATAATAAATTCATTGAAATGATCAATTCACGGGCGCATTAATGTCATGTTATTATATTGTACATATAATAATATAAAAGAAAATGGTTGGCAGTAGTATTACCGTTATTCTAGGGGTTTGTTTGTTTTAACCGGTTCTCTTTAAATGAACCTGTTGGAATGGAATGTGCGTATATTTTTGACACATTACGATATAATGTCTACTTTATTAAGAGACGTTCAAATTTCCTTCCTCGTGCTATATAATTTATATGACCAGTGTATGAAATATTTGATTTGTATTGCAAATTGGAACTTGAATTAATCTGATTGTAATTGATTTCATTCAAATAAAATAACGTAACCAAATTGTAAGCAAAACAGTTACATTGATAAGTGCGTTATATGTAATCGAAAATTTTGTTTTTGGGCATTACATTAATATAAAAATATCATATTTTAAAATTAATGAATGTACTTCATATAATGATAGTATCATCAATTCAATAGATGTTTTTGACAGACATTTAATGAAAATCAAGGGCGAGGAGAAGTTAAAATACAAAATAAATTTTTATACTTTTTTACTCAATACACGAAAGAAAGAAAAAAATACATAATGATGTTTTTCCCGAAGTATTTGGATGAAACCTACCTTACCTGCATATGTTTAGGTAAAACTTAATTGGCGTTTAGCCAACTTTTAAAGTAAAAATTCATCTTTGTTATTTGATAATTCAAATCAGTAGAAATGAAAGTTTGATAAATTTTCAATTAATAGAAATTTTCGTATGGTAATAACGATAATATGTACGCATAATAAGAGGTTACTTTACAACTTCGGGTGATTCAATTGCTGGGTTTCTCCTTGTGGTTTAATTCTTTTATCAATTTCTTTTAATGTTAATTTCTTTTGCAGCTATATTTTTTTCAGAAAATGTAAACGTTTTACATTTAATTCTAATTCATGAATTACGCTGAAAAATTTAAAAGAATTTTGTATAATATGGTATAGAAAATAAACATTAAGGAGGTGCATAGGGGCATGTGCCTCAGGCATTGGGGGTATTTCTGACACATGACTGTTCACAGGGGTGGATTTACGGAGGGGGCGGGCGGTCTCGAACACCAATATTTTTATATTGTTTAATATATATCGTAAGACTCTGATATGTTTTCTAAGTAAATTTTATTATTTAAAACTCCCCACAGATATATGTTGAAAATCTGCCACTTTGTTTAAAAGTAATAATTATTTTTTATAAAATGTACAATTTATGTATACTTTATGTAACATTCAGATGCCAAAAGTAATGAGAAATATATTTGTATTATAAGGAACATAAGGTGTTTTTATTTAATCAAGAAGGGGTTGCTTTTTCTTCTTTACGTAAAGCGTGAAATTCGTAAATACGTTTCAGATAATAAGATAGACAACATATTGTTAATATTAGCAGTGGTATCACCAAGATTTTTGATTGGGGGCTAAGGATCTTTATTTTTTTACTGATAATATGTTATAATTAGTGCCAAATCCATAAACTCTTTATAGTAATAATACATAATTTATATTTTTTATTAAAACAAGGTGGAGAATAATTTAAAAAAAAGTTTTAAATTACGCTGTTTTTGTACAAATATTAGTTTATACTTAAAATATTATTGGCAAATAATTAGATAATAATAACTTTGGTTAATTCAATCCTTTAACACTACTTTGGCTCTGAAAATGATGGACCCTAGGGTGAAAATGTTCACTTATGTGATGAGTTTGTTGAGTATATGTTAGAAGGAGAATACCTTTTTTGATAGATTAATCAAAACTTCATTTGTGATTAGATCATACCAAGGAGCTTTAACTTTCGGTAATTTTTTAATATTTGCTTCAATTTCTTCAGGACTGAACGGTTTACTAGAAGGACTACATAGATAGAGGAGATGAGATAAAGTCATTAACCATATTAATATGATTGGAGCGGGTTTAACGTTTCCAAGTAGTTTAAAAGTATTAAATAAATGTTGAGCAAAAATCATAACTTTCTTTTCATCTGATATAGCAATGATACCGTTATCATTTCGAAGAGACGGGGTAATTTCTTTGGTTTGGGTCAATCGTTTTGTAGCTCTCCATAATGATTTATCCTTAGTGTTGAGTGATCGAATGTAGTTTTGACACATGAAACAATAATTATTTTTTCCACCTCTTCATAATTTGAATTATAACTTTGACACTTACTTTTTGATTATTATTTAAATTATACTGTAATGTAAATAAATGAAATCTGATAAAACTATATATATAGGTATTCAGTAATTACGGATTTTCTATTACGGATTACGTAATTTCTATTGTTCTTATTGTTTGTAACAATTGACCTGTGTCCTTACTTACTGAACATTTTGTATACAGCATAGTTTTTTCATAATGATACCCCCATTTTTTTGTTACATAATTACATAATTACATATTCATAAATGTATAGATTAAAAATGATTTATTTGTATAAACTATTGTAAATATAAAGTTTATTGTAAAAAAAAAAAAAAAAAAAAATGATTCCTAAGAGTAGATTTTAGGAATAATTTTTAAAAATTAAAAAATAAAAATTTTGAGTAGTTGATAACCAGTTTTGCATTATGACTTTTTGTGATATTAGCATTTAAATATTTTGAAAAGAGAGGAATTTACAATGATTTATATTAATTTTATATTAAATTTTAATTTGTACAATTTTATGAAAAAACCGTTGTTTAAATTCAAATTAATACATTTCTAGAAAAATATTAAATATTAATAATTAAATAACAATAGCTTGATTATTTTACTGAAATAGTTCGTAAAATAATTAATTATAATTTTTTATATGTATATTTTATGTTTGTTTTTACTATTTTTTTTTTTCAAACATTATTGTCTCATTTATTCTGTGACAAGAAATGGAGTGAGAAAAAAACTGTATACTATACTTGTTTGTTTATGTAAACGAAAGCTAAAGATCTATGGCTTCGATTAAAACTTCTTTAAAAACTTTAGTCCTAAATCAGCCGGTAGTTCGCAAAGAAAGTTTGAAACAGATGCAATAAAATTCAGAGATCTTAACAATTTTATAAAGTTACGAGACACTTATTTAAAAACTTGTCATCGTGTATTTGAAATTATATTTGCCAATATTATAGATATATATTAATTTTGAGTAACACATATGAATGTACTATTTTTTAAGCCTTATTTTATACATTTTTTTTTCTAAGCCCTGTCTTTTAATTGATATAACTACAATATAGTACAAACATTTTTTCATTTAATTAAGTTTTTAATCTGTTTTTTGATAAGGTCATAATTTTTATTTGTTAGTTTTTTATAAGAACACACATAAGGTAACAGCATTTAGTAAAAACTGTAAAACGACAGATATCTTTAAAAAAGAATTTAAACTATTATTTTTTTTGGTTTTTTAAAT